ACGCTTTGATTTAGATGAAAAAAAAATCACAACAGTTTTTGACACTTTCGATACCAGAAGCAACAACAAAATACACACAAATGTTGTTTTTGCTCTAATACTGCTACTACCTGTTTGAAATGCCTTGGCTTATATTTAAATTTATTCATATACATACCTACATAAGTACATACATATGTATATTTATATTTTTGCAAAATAATTATCAGCATATTATTTACAAAAAAAAAAAACAAACTCTTTTCAAAGCTTTCCATTCCTTTGCTTGTGCAACATTCCCATTTACTTTTACTTCACTTTAGCGAAAGTTAATCCCATTTTTGCTTTAGGTATTAAAAGCACTTGTGCTCTTTTTAATGTTTTTCTTTGTTGCCAAAAATGTTGAACTTTCTTACATTCCCAAATCAATGCATACTTTACTCTTCTTTCTTGAGATTTGATTTATGTATATATTTCAGCAACAGCAAATTACAGGTTCAAAGCCGTGTCCTAAGGCAGATACGTTCATACACACGACTGCATTAAAGGCAACATGTACCCATCCTTTTCTTAAAAGTACTATTTATGCAAATTAGTATGCTCGTATGTTTGCCCTGCAGCGAAGTAAATGGAAAATCTTAATTTTATAATGCCTCATCCTTCATTCGCTGCTTTGTCAATCAACAACTTAGAGCGCCAAAATTGTTTGAGAAAAAAACGAAATAATTTTCTGTAGCACAGAGGACTTTTGAAGACTTAGAAAAACTTTAATTTGTGTATTCGTTGCCATTTTGGTGCGGTAACCTTTAAGTTTACCCTTTTTGGTAATTCTCTGTTTTTCATTAGATACATTTAAAGTGCTTATATAGTAGTAGTACATCATGGACAGCGTTCATGGTGAGATTTTCACGCAATCTAAATAATTTAATTTATTGCTGTTAAATATTTGGTATACAGCTGCATTTACCGTACACAAATATTTGTGAAGGTTCAGTTTCGGCGTTTTTGTTTCAATCCTTTTTTATTCATTACACTGTTTTGTTCTGGTGTTAGTCTTTTCATTGGGTTACAATAAAATTTTAGGGCTATTGTTTCTTGGGGAGAGAGAAGAAGCAAAAGTACGTAAGTACAAGACAAAAGCATAACACCATCACGGGTCCCCCATTGTGTTCGTGGGCACCCTTGCTTTCGTTGCTCGTCACTGGCAATAAATTAATTTGCATTAGTGGCATTCCTGGACATAGTAGGGGCTTTCAAAAATGTTCTTCCTGAAGGATCTGACGGTGGATAAAACACTGGTTGTGTTTCTGGGTGGTAAGCTTTGAGCTGGGACGGCAAACGAGTCGCAGGTCTATCAGGCGAAGCACTCCGCAGGAAGATGGTATCTCTCCACCTCGATGGATAGTGACGATGCTGGTTCAAAACTTAAATTTAAATCTACTGCCAAGTATCTTGGAGTAACTCTCGAACATGCCCTGCTCTGGAATGACTGTAAAATGGAACGTGTGTGTCAAATAGGCTACTGGATATTTTGCGCGATCCAAATAGCGATTATTCGTCCGAGTTTGCTCTACGGAGCTCAAGTCTGGTGGCTTTACATCAGTAAGTGAACAACGCTTAAACGATTTTAATTTGTACAAAGAAGTGATGCATAAGCGGAGCTCTTTGCTCCTCGCCTACAGAAGCTCTGAATGTGATTCCACATCTGCTTCCGCTTGACGCAATTACTCGTGAGATAGACATTATTGCAGTACTCAGACTCAGAGAGGCAAGGTTTTAGTCTCAAGGTACGGCCATTCGAAAATTTTAGGGACCTATACCGATACTTGCAAGTACTGGCTACTGCATACTATCAAAACACTTTCGCAAAAAACTATAACTATTACCGTACCAACTTGAAGGACTGAAACACCAGACCTCACCACATACGCAACGCTATAATCAGATATGTTGATGGCTCAGATCAAAGGAGGTAGAATCTTCTCTTCGCAGTTAGAAGAAGAAGGACATTCTCGGCACAGACAAGCATCCCTGAGAGCTCTAAACTCGTGCATTGACAAAACAAATTCGCTCAATAAATGCCGTAGATCTCTAAAGCACGAAGCTTTCGAATTAGCGAGGAACGTTTCGACTGCTCCCATCCTTCCTGGGAAGGACATGGTAGGTAAATATACTACGGGCCCCTTTTACAAGCAGAAAAAAAAAATTCTGGCGAAATTATATTGCTGTGAAAGTGCTGTGGCCCTCTTCTGGTTGTACAAGGAAACGATTTATCGGCGTACATGATTTTACATTGCATTACTGTCCCAGCTGCAGACTTTGCGGAGATATCGAAATTTTAAATACGAGAATTATCACAGTTCACATTATTGAAATGGTTTAGACAATCTGGAGCAGGGTTGTTGCGAATATTATTCTGAAGTAAAAGTCCTTTCCGGATAATAAACAAACCGCTTATCCAAATTAAACAAGTTTGGTACCAAATTAAAGAGGACTTTAATATCTTTATAACCGAAATGTCTAAACGAGAAAAGCCGCATATTTAAACATTTTGCAATAAAAAATTTTAATCAAGTACCGGAAAGGACTTTTATTTCGGAATAATATTCGCTTACTTAAATGGAAAGAAGTACCCCAACAAAAAATTCAGCCGTTTGGTGGTATGAGGGTCGATTTTTCTTTTTTGCTTACCACTTTTAAAAGCTTGTCTTAAAAAATACTTTTTACTTTACTTGTTTTTTTTTAAGATTAATTTTCAAAGTCGAAACATCTTGAATGAGATATGTATACAGGGTGTCGAAGACTACCCGTCCGCCCCCTCTAAAATGGAGAGACACCTTTTTTTATTGAAACCCGAAAAAAATTTACCTACTAAATCGGGGATACTTTATTTTTTAGTGGTATTAACGACTTCTGATTTCTACCGGAAATGGGTGAAACTGACCGGAAGTACGGTTTTTCAAATTAGATATGTATATATTTTTACTGCAGATTCGGGTTCCAAGGAAAAAATAGATAACTTTTGTTTGAAGCTTTTATTCGGAAATGCCTTTGTCAACCTGTAAATGATCTTCGCACTTCGACTAGTCCTGGACTTCTTAAATGAGTAAAAATGTTTTTATCCATTTTTTTTATTAAACACATGTATGTTTTTATTACAGATTCGGATTCTGTGGACAAAAAGACGCCACTTTTGTTTGAGTATTTTTTCTCGGAAGTTTTTTTTTTCAACACTTCAACGGGAGTCCAGGACCAGTTAAAGTTCAAGGGTCATTTTGAGGTTGAAAGAAAAAATATTCACACAAAAGTAACGTATTTTTATCCTTAGAACCTGTTTTAATACAAATTATCTTGTTAGTTTATTGCTCATACGTTACCAGACTTTTTTTTAAATACTAGGTTGTTTTAAATCAAGCAGCAGGGATATTTGTAAAATTAAAATATCAACATCTAAATGTTGTTCTAAGTACTAACAGAGATATACACAAAACTTTTCAAATTTTAAATATTTTTTAGGGGTTTGAAAAATGTTAGATTTCTTCAAATTGCAAAAATTCGACAAATTTTGAACGTAACCACATCACAGTGAGTTCAAACAGACAAACAAAAATATATAGTACATAAGTTATTAGTATAGTACAGTATTTGTTACAGTATAGAACAGGGATGGGCAGATTCTTGGCTCCTAAAGCCGTCAAAGAGCCAGAAAGTGCTAAGCAAGAGCTAAAAGGGCTGTACAAAATACATTAAAAGCATCATATATATTAGTAATGAGAGTCGGAGTACAAGAAATTTGATTACGCTCTTCTTCCCCCTTCATGCTGGCTCTTGATGTTACCCCTCATCTACCACCTAAATGTGCCAAGCCGGCTCCTAAGTGCAAAAGGCTCCTGGGAGCTACTTTGCCCATCTCTGGCGTTACAGAACTTAGAAAATATTTGAAAAATGCTGCATTTATTCTGAAAAAACTTAGCCAAAATGGCAGTCTTTGGAGAGCTCAATACTGCTTGATGAATCCATTGGAGATGACTATGAATTTATAATTAATATATTTCAATAATATGCTAAGTTAACAGATATAAATTTTTTCAAACCCTGATATACCTGGCGACCCCTAAAATTATTTTAAAATTTTTAAAATTTTCGTGGTTGTTTTTACTTTGCACGTAGAACAAAATAAAAGGGTGCCTCATAAAAAATATAGATGTTTATATTTATTTTGAAGAACCACCCTAATAAATACGTACATAATAAAATAAGTGTTCGGAAAATCGTTGAGCACTAGCCTTGCCGGAGCAAAAACAAAGCAAGAAGGACGCATGGAGTCGTTTTGAGCGAACACGTTGAACATTTAGTTTTAATATTTGCGTATAAAATGAGAAAAGTTTTACTGCGCTCATGAAAATGAAAATTTTTTCCAACTGCTATGTTAAGCGCTTGAACAATCTAACGCCAATGGCGCTCAAAACTTAAAAATAAAAATACAAATTTGTTAGAGTAGAGCTTTGCTGGCTATTTGTTAGACCACATATAAAAGTATGTATGCTGATGGGCGTGTGGCTAAGACCTTTGTTTTTTAACGAAGTTTTTAGCCACTAATGAATGCACTATGGCATGAGTAAGTTGCTTCGAACAATTGCAAGTACTTAGTATTTAGTTACATTTTTATTATTTTTAGTTTATGTTTTATGCAAAAAATGTAAATAAAAGTTTGAAAAAAAATTTCAATATACATATATACCTAAGAAAGTTTTCCCCACACACCCACACACGGTTAAATAAAACTCCAAGATAAATACCAATTGATAATTTTTTTTTATAAATGTTTACATGTGCATATGCACTTAAATATGTGTATGTGTGAATGTATGTACATACCCAAAATAAAAAAAAATAAAAATCATAAATAATACCATTAATAATCCTTCTTTTGTTTATACTTCTTTTCTTTTTTCTCTCTTTCGCTTGCTTTTTCGCTCGACTTTTCTCCATATACGTAACTCTCCAACTCTCCACACATGTCTGCACCTTTTCCTTGCTCACCTTGTGCACCTCTTAATGTTTTCTCTAATTTTATTTTATTTATTACTTCTCTCTGATTTTTGCATTGCATATGATAATGCCAAACATTTTTTTTGTAACCCTACTCAATTTATACCCTCTTGTCGCTTTTCTTTCCGTTCGCAATTTTTTTGTTTACGCTGCAAAGTTTTTGCCCTTACAGCTGCTTTGCTGGGTGCGCGTTTTCGCGCCGGTTCCAATGCTGGCATGCTCGGCTTGGGCGGCCTACCCGGGCTGGGTGGCCCACCGACAACGGACGCGGATGGCGATGGCATGGAGGGCAATAATCTAGATGTACCTGCTGGCTGTAATATGGGACGACGACGTAGTCGTGCTGTGCTCTATCAACTATCTGGCCACTATAAGCCGGAGAAGGTTAAGACGAAATTGAAATTAGGAAATGTAAGAATAAATGATACAAATATATATATACAATTGTACATTAAATGATTATTGGTTTAGTTATACATAAGGGTAAGTAGTACTCTTATTATACTAAGTTTAATTATTTCACGGGAACACTATTTCCTTTCAAATGAAGTTTAAAATGATTATAGCTATAATTAAGTTAGAATAGATTAAATTTGAAGGAGGGAGCACGTCATCCAGTTACCGCGAAAGAAACCTCTATTCAACTATAGGTCTTCTTTGATCCTAAGGATCGAAGTCTGGTCCTAGTCAGAGCTTTAAAGTGGCACATAATGTGCACTGCTGTTTATTGTGCTTCATTGCATAGCCTATACCGTAACAATTAATAGTTCATGCCTACTGAGGCGAAGAACTTCTTCGGTTATTTTCGTTTATATATCCGCAATCAAAGACTTAGCCTGCCTGCTATCTTCCGTATTTGTGTTGTGTGTAATGTTCCGCTTCGTTCTTCATACAGACATATTACTTTCGCCTAATGAAGCTCCATTGGTGACCAGTAAAGGATCTTGGGCATGTGAATATCTGCCATTTCATTGCCCATAACTCCACTGAATCCCCAATAAGTATTAAAAGCTTAAAGAAGTTAGTTCCACACCAGCTTTAAGACGACCACGTCTGCTTTAAAAGCAAGGATCTCTCCGAGTGTATGTAGATGTGTTTGCTGGTAGTCCCACTTTCCACGGCCTTAGATATAGTTCAGTGCTCTATGCTGGTTAAAATGGGCTGTCTGGGTGGTAAGCCGTAAACTCCTGCTCCGACGCCGTGCTGAGTCTCGAAACCGTCAATATGCCAGATGTAGCTGTCCTCCCTGGGATTGGGTCAATCGTAGTACCAGTTATTCCTCTCGGGGCAAAAGACCTTGAAGTTTTGCGTGAACTTACATTTCGGAAGGCACAGGTCCACAAAGCTAAAGCTTCTTGTTCTACAGTCCAACTTCGTGTCTTCTTTCTTGATTACAATGTGTACGGAAGTCAGGTCAAGAAGCATCTCGGTAGTCGTGGTTGGGGTTGTGATGCCCACACAGCCTAGTCATTGTAGCTTACTGAGCTTGACCAGCCTTCTTCCACCAGACGGGTGTAGCATATGTTAGAAAGGGTTTGGAGATTATATCATACATCCACCGTGCTAGGTATGGTGCCGCAGTTCTGTTCCATAAGTTTCCTGAGGGGTCCACATAGAGGCTCTGGCCTTTCCACGATAGTTTGTAATCAAGGATAACTGCTAGATATTTGACCGCTTTGGCGAAATGTATATTTCTTCCTTAAAGGAATGGTTCAAGAAATTGGTCCCTTTTCCTTTTTCTAAAGAAAATAACTATGCTAGTCTTCATGGGGTTTGCTTTTAACCCATTGGTACCGCACCAATTGGCGACTATGCTAAGAGCATTCCGTAGAAGTTGGAGGTAGTGCTTCGATCCTGCCTCTGATTACTATGACACTGTCAACCGCATTTCCCTGATTGTCGAAGTGATTTTCACTAGGAAGGCAGAGTAGTTCGCCTACTACAATGGACGATAGCAGAGCGAAGGTCATTCCAGCCTGCGGAGGTGCTTTCGTAGATAAGAATCTTGTCCTGGAGCGAATGTAATGGTTTTGGATTTGTTAATATTTGCTATCCTTTTAAACATCCCAGCGCCACATCTTTGGCCTCCAAAGACTTCTCAATTTCCCTTAAATAAGTTCCAAAACAAATTCTCGATAATCAAGGGGATTTTTAAGCCATTTGGAGCCCGCACTTCATTAGACTAAAATTATATGGGCTACCCAAAAAGGTTCTAAAGATTCAGATTTAAAAGTTGACATTTTGGTAAAAATTGGTTGAATTTTCTTAAATTTTGGTTAAAGCTTGGACAATATTTTTAGAAAAAACAACAAAAAAATTTAACTCGGAAAAACATTATGAATAAAAAAAAAAAAAAACCCCGTGGTCACTTGTTTGAGTCACTCTATGTATAGCAATAAATATTGTACAATGGAGTGCAGTAGGTGGCTTTAGGGAACAATTCTCTTTTCGTTTTGGCTGCCTTACTTCTGGTGGGCACTTTTTTTAAAATAATATTCGTTTTCATGCTATTACTTTTTCATAAACCGTTTTTGTACAGATCTTGCTAACTACTGCTCTTTTGTTAACCCTTTTCATTGCAGAATTTACTACATTCAACAGAGGCGCCTTTTCCCGAATATAAAACACAATCAATAAAAAAATCACGTTTCATTCTGCCGCACTATGGCGTTTTTAAAGGCTTCTGGGATTGGATTATATTGGTGTCCACGTTCTATGTGGCAGTTTTGGTGCCATACAATGCGGCATTTGCCAAAGCGGATCGGCAAACAATGGTATCGGATGTCATTGTCGAAGCGCTTTTTATAGCAGGTAAGAGAATTTTAATTTTTTTGAATTAAAATTTAATATTTTTTTAATTAAATTTGTATGGCATTATTCATAAAAAATAAAGCAGGTTTAAAATGCATTACAAATTGCCGTTTTCATAAATTTTCCATTTTTTTAATTTAAAATTTAATATCTTAATAATAACATTTTTATGGCCTTATTCATAAAAAATAAAGCAGATTTAAAAAGCTTTATGAATTGAAATTTTCATAAATTTTTCAATTTATAAACCTTTTGTAAAGCTCCTTTATTTTTTATGAATAAGGCTATTCGATTTTACTGTTTAAAAAGAAAAGTCTTTTTATATTTATTTCTTTTTTAAGTTTCTTTGTTAAATATATTTTCTTTATATTTAAATTTTATTGCTCTTAAAGGAAAAGTATTTTTTATTGCATTTGAATTTAGGCAACTTTAGTAATTTGTTTATTTTTTAAATACATTTTTTAAATTTAATTTTTAGATTTTTTAAGAAAACTTACATTATTTTTTTAAAGCACCTTTTTTTAATTTTAAGTATTTTAAAGAAAAAAATTTTTAATGTCATTTAATTTTTGGAAATTAAATTTATTTTTTTTAATTAATTTAATTTTTCTTTAACTTTTAGATCTTATTACTTTAAAAAGAAAATTATGCATTCGTAATCTCATTTGATTTTAAAGACCTATTTCATTTATTTTTGCATTGATTTTAATTTAATTTTTTAAAAGCAAGACAAGCAAGTGGATTTAGTGCGCTTGCGAGTGCATTTAAATATTTAAATTACTCATACGCAATGGCAAATTCGCATTCAATTTTCTTTGGAAAGGTATCTAATCAAATGCTTCAAGTGAAAAGGGTCACTCGCTCGTTTGCGCAAATATTCACTTTACGACTAAGTAGTCTGCTTGCATCTATTTTTCACGTTTTAATTTAGCTTTCCACCGCGTTTTGTAGACTTTTATGACGTTTATTTAGTCAACGGCGCAGACTACTTCATAGAATTTATTTTTATTGAATTTCCATGCCCATTTATTTCACCTTTTACTTACATACATACGACCACAAGTTCTTAAGGGCTTGTGAATATTTTATTACGTGTCAATATTTATATATTTTCTGCTTTTTTCTTTGCAGACATTTTATTGAATTTTCGTACAACATTCGTCTCGAGCAAAGGTGAAGTGGTCTCCGATTCAAAGCTGATTGCCATTAACTATTTGCGCGGCTGGTTTGTGGTGGATTTGCTGGCGGCATTGCCATTCGATCATCTTTACGCATCGGATCTGTACAATGGAGAGGTGAGTGCTGGCCGGGAAGGCATGTCAAAGTGAAATAAGCAAGGAAAGGGAGTTGGTGTGCATGGCAGTTTGTCAGAGAAATCTCTTGTCGACTTTAAAGCTTTAAGAAATTTTAACTTACTGATGAAATTTCAACCTACATATTTTAGTTTGTTAAAAGTTTTCTTTTGAGCATTTTATAAAAAGTTTTTCATCCTAGCTTTTTCATTAATTTTTTTATTTTGTTTGTTTTTTTTTTTGTTACAGTATACAATTTAAAGCTTGCCAAGATATGGCTGGTGGCTGTTCTTAAATGTTGACCTGCATTTGTTGACAAAGCGCTGCGAGCAGTTGAGAGTTTAACTGCCAAGCTTAATGGCCTTATTTGGGGCTGAATAAGTTTTCTACATTTGCTTGTGTTTAAAATTGTACTAATGTACTAAATCTTCACATACATAAATACATATTAGACCGGGTAGGTCCTCAAACGAAGAAAAAGTTTTCAATTACATCCCTCCACCCACAGTTCAGTCGAGTAGAAATTGAGTTAATTGATTTTGCTGGTAAAGGTGATTTCAGTTAGATGGATATACAGTGGCGGTCAAAAGTGAATGAATGGTGTTTAGTTTTTGATATTTAAAATTTTTTTCAGGCAAAATTTTTTTGCTATTTTTTTATAAAAATACAACAATAACAAAACCCATATAAATGACACTTCCCAACTTAATGCAGAATTTTGCAAAAATCCACAAATTTTTAACTAAATTGAGAGCTCTTTAAACAGAATTCTTATAAATTTTTTGGGTATGCAGTTAAGAGGCTTATACAATTTTTGTAAGATAAGTGCAGGCTTTGAGCGGCTAAAGAATCGGCATCGGTTTTTTAATTTTTTTTTTGTTGGCGGCTTTTTTTTTTCATACAAATAGCGAGATTTAGGAAAACTGGCGTTGATTTTTATTTATTTTTTTCGCAAACGGTATTGTCAACAGTCTTCCACAAGAAATTCATGTTTATATGGAAAAATTGCAAAACGCCATCAAAAAAAAAATAAAAATAATAAAAAATCAGTGCGATTTTGTAGCCACTTAAAACTTGCATTCATTTGACTAAAATTTTAAAAGCATGTTAATTGCATACCCAAAACATTTATAAAATTTCTGGTTAAAAATGTCGGAGTTTAGATAAAAATTCGTGGAATTTTTCTTAATTCTGTATAAAGTTTGTAAGTGTGATTTATATGGTTTCTGCTAAAGAATGAAACATGTTTTTATAAAAACAAAAAAATGTTAGCTAGAAAAAAATTTTTAATATTAAAAACGAAACACCATTCATCCATTTTGACCACCACTGTATGTATGAAAAAATTATGGTATGTACTTGACAACTAGTTTTAGCGCTATTTAATACTTTAATTAACTCGACTTTGGCTGTTTTTGTAACGCCGAACCCAACTTTCGCACACGTTTATACAACTTTAGTCTTTTAAAGCAATCGAAATTAGAAAAACAACCTACTCCTTAAGTCCTTTAACTAAGTTGTGACGTATAAAATTCTTTAAATTACATAAGAACAACTTTTTTAGTAAACTATTAACTCATACTCAGAAATAAGGAATAAAGATTCCGAAAACCTCCAAAACCCTCTTTAAACTTAGTGGAAATTCCTCGAAGGAAAACACGAAGTATTCGAAAATGTCAATGAAAAATCCGGACATCGTCAAGAGAAGAAATCAAAAAAAGCTCCGGAAAGATTAAAAAAAAAAAAAGTTTGAAAAGTATAGAAAATATCCTTAAATTACCCGAAAATTAAAATGCGAAAGCCCCGAAAAGATGTCTAAAAATTCTGAAAGAGTGATATTACAGGAGAGTACTGAAAAACAGCGAAAATGAAAACACGACAAAAGCTGTAAATGCCGTTTTTTTCTTAGAATTCTGTAAAGTAAGAAGCAGAAGAAATAAGAAAAAATTCGTTATTAAAACACCTTCTTTTTAACCCCAAAAGGGTGTAGTAAAGTTTAAATCTTTTTGGCAGAATATTTCATAAAAGGAACAAAAAATTGAAAAAAATAAGTTAAAGTTCATAAGTATTTACTACAGAAGGATTTTTACACAGCTTTTGTTTCTTATTTTTTCATCTTTCTATTTGTTATTAGCATACACACAACTTTTTGATAATCGTATCCAACGGCAGTGCAACATAATATTCTCGTACAAACATAATACACAAAATTTGTATACATTGCCTTTCTTTAAGTCATGTTTAAGCAGAAATGATGCTATTCCCCTAAATTTGTTGATTTTTGTCGACCATATAATTTTTTTACTTTTTTTACTTCTGGTTTACTTTACTCGCTACTTGCTTCCTTTCCGTTTTTTAAGTCTAAATCTAAGCCGCAGTAAGCTGCACGGCATACTCATTTTAACATTG